CCTTACAGACCAGGCAGTGGTGACACACACCTTTATCCACTCTAGTTTGCCATAGAAACCAGGTGGTAGTGGTGCACACCTTTAATTCTAGCCCTAGAAAGGATTATAAAATGGGATGAGACAGCTCTCAGGCACAGTCTCATTCTGAGATTCCTGGAGGCAGGATTACCATTTCGGATTGAGATAGAGATAAGAGCCAGTGACTGGCTGTTTTGCTTTTCTGATCTTCGAGTTGAACCCTAATATCCATCTCTGGATTTTTCTTAATCATGTTACACAGAAATAGGTTCTGGTCTAGTAAGGGACAGTTTAAACCTATCCCTAGAGTCCCTTCCTGTGGCATAAAGTCTGATTCCCTACGTTTTCCCTGTTTACCAAAGACCAGAATCTTTTTAAAGGAATTTTCCAGGAAGACTATGTTTCACAACCCCAAGTTTTGCAATGGAAACTCCCTTTTCTTTGACAGCTGGGGAGCCCGGCTGCAGGGCATGCATAGAATTGCAAACTCTGGATTCCAATCTTAAAAGATAAACTCCCACATCCTTTTGTTTTTGTTTTTGTTTTGTTTTGTTTTTCAGTGCAACCAAACATTTAAAGTGGGCATCAGTGAACAAGGGTCAAGATGAATACGGGTTGCTGGTGTGTGGTCATTTTCTAATGCCTTCCATGCAGCTGTCTTCCTCAGTTCCCAGTTCAGGCCTGAGGGCAGTGGGCATTGGACCATGACCCTCTATTCATACAAAAATAAGACTCAGAGAGGAATGAAGGGGCAGGGAGTGGAAGAGCCTGGGACCTCGCGAAACCTTGATTGGGATGGGTCCATAGTCTGGAGACAGTTCATCTGGCAGCAGCCACAGCAGCCATGGCTGTAACTTCCACTTTCTTGCCCAGAGCGAGGTGGATCCATAGTGTAATGACAGCTACTGCTCACAGCAATAGGAGCGGAGAGAGTCACCATGTAGCATCCTTTCGAAGCTGGTTCCAGCATCCCTTGGCTATCTGCATGACCCAGACAATATCACCAGATTCAAACAAGGAGAAACTGGTGGTGAACTCAGGCCAGCTGGGTCCTTTGGGTAGTCCAGTGGATAGTATTTACGGAGAACCGGAGAGCCTTGACCTGAGAACGGGATGGTTAGAGAGTCTGCCGACTGCTGACCTCTGAGCCTGGGAAGCAGTCGCAGAGGTCTTTCAAGTATAATCTCATAGTGGGGGAGCCCTTCCTTATATATGGGATGCAGCAGGCCCAAAGCAAAGGAAAGGGAAGGAGGTCTATGCTCCCCGCCTTCCCTGGACTCTAGTGAGAGTTTTGTTAGAGTTTCTTTTAACATCCTGTTTATTCTTTTACTCTGCCCAGAACTCCGAGGTCTATATGTACAATCAAGTTCCCAATCCATACCTAAGGTTCTAGCTGTGAAAGTCTGACCACTGTTGGACCCCATTTCTAGGGGTAGGCCAAATCAGGGAACCAGTTCTGGAGGAGCCTTTAAGCTACTACTTTGAGCAGTTCCAGTCTGGGTGGGGAAAGTTTCTACTCACCTGGAAAAGGTATCTGTAAAAACCAACAAGTCCTTGTATCCTTCCCTGGCAGGCTGGCTCTCAAAGAAGTCAGTTTTCCCAGAGTTCCCCAGGATGTTGGCTTCTCATTCAGACCCCTTCCTGCATAGGCTGTTTGGTTTGTTTTTGTTTTCATTTTTGTTTTGTTTTTGGTTTTTTACCTGAGCCCAAACCTGGCATCTAGCTGAGATATCCCAAGCCAGGATGTCCAGTCTAGGTATAATATATCTTGGTCTGAGCAACTCAGAAAGTACTGTGGATCCCGGTGAAGGACCAGAGTCCTCCCAGTTGTTTCTGGGAGAATGAGCTTTCGCTCTGGTGTCCTCCATCAAACTGTGGGTTCCAGCTGTTCGTTTTTTATGTCCTCTATCTCCTCTTAGTTGTACCATGCAGGCTTAGGCAGCACTGGATTGGGGTATGTCACCAGAATATCAATAGATCCCACTGCCTTAGAGCCACCTGCTAGGCAGCCAGGTCAACAGCCCAGTTACTCTCACCTCAGGGGTGTCATCTTTTTGATGTCATAGGCAGTGGATGATATCAGCTTATAGGGGAATTCAAATAACCCCCATGATGATTTTCTCTTTATGTTTAAAGTCCTTTCCCCAGTGGTGAGAAGCCGCCTTTCTCTACAGATCATACTGTGGGCATGCACAGTAGTAAAAGCATAACAAATGCCCGTGTATACAGCCACGGACTTTCCTTTTTGCCATCTGAGAGCCTGGGCCAGATTAAGGACTCAGCGCCTCACTTGGTGCTGGTGTATAGAGGCCTTGCTGTTTCCGCAAACTCTGGCACCCACAGGTGGCAATACCGAGCCTCACCCAGGAACTCTCCAACCTGTCTCTTAGTCTTTGGAGTTAGAATCTGAAGGATGGCAGTAATCCCACTCTGAGAGAGGCTCTATTTGCCTCCCTTCAGCTGGTAGCCAAGACAGGGAGCCTCTGATGCACAGTTGGGCTTTCTTAGCTGACGTTCTGTAGCCCATGGTGACGTTCTGTACCTCTTGCAGCAGTTCCTCAGTGGCCCTTTTATAATCTATTCTGGTTTTAGAGGCTAGGAGGGGGTCATCTCCATATTCTAAGAAGATGGCCCTAAGAAACCTCTGACAGAAGGGCAGGGGATCAGTATTTAGTGGCTCATCAAACAGCGTTGGAGAATTTTTATATCCTTGGGGCAACCTGGCCCAGGTAAACTGCGCACTGTAACCTCTTTCTGGTTCTGTCCATTTGAAAGTAATAATGACTGACTCCCCTCTGCCAGTGGAAGGCTGAAGAATACATTTTTCAGGTCCCAGACAGTGAGCACCTGTCTCTCTGGAAGAATTGTACTCATGAGAATCAGAGGTCCTGGGTATTTTCACAGGCAGGAGAGGTCTATTCCAGAATGACAGGCAGGTCACCAGGATGCCTGCCTTTCCAAGTTAGACAATATGGACCACAATTTCCCTTTTTGTTTCCAGGGTCATTGAGTATTGTTTAATCTGGATAAAGGTAGCTAAACTGGTTAGTTGAACAAGTATAGGAATTTTGTGTTGGGTCGGTCCTGGGGAGTTAGTTTCTGCCCATATCCCCAGGAATTTTGTTGCAAATATGAGATAGTCCAACTGTATATTTTAATGAGGGGCAAAACTTTCAGCTAGGAGATAGTCTTCCAGCAGAGGGCAAGACACCAGAATGTTGCTGTGTAAGTCTTACTGTGTGTTGTCATAAGAGAAGGTGACGGTGGCTTTCAGTTTATGAAAAAGTTTTGTCTCTCAACCAGTGTTTTGCTGTTTAACATCTTTTGAGCTACCTCTAGTAACTGGGACCTATTTATACCTTTAGATTTTTAAAACTTTTATCATTTTTTTCTACTATTTAGGCATGCCTGGGTGATAAAGGAAATCTTTTTAGCAGTTGTCTTTATTGTTTTTTTTCTTCTGTTTTTTTTTTGGTTTTTTTGTTTGTTTGTTTGTTTGTTTGCAGTTGGCTTTAATGCTTCTAGAAAGGACCTAGTGAGAATTGTTCAAAGTCTCCTTGGTCTGTGTTGAACAGAAGGGAAAATCATCCGCTTTATACAGGCTGCCTTGTCTAGCAATGATGCCCTTGCCAGGCCCGGGGGCAGCTGGGTTTTAGTGTTTTCCAATTCTGCAGGTCATTGGTTGAAAAGAAGGCATGAACCGTGAAAGAGGAAGGAATAGAACTTACTTCCTCCCCCTTTCCTGGGGCTGCTTAGAGCAGGCTAGGAAGCTGAGGGAATGCATGCCTTGAGGGAGCTATAGCTACCTCCCTGTGTGCCTTCTGCTTAGATGACAGAGAGCCCTGGATGAGAGAGGCCTGTCCTGTCCCCACCTCCACCCAGGGACCAGACGGACCCAGACCATAAGCAGGAGTCAAGTAGCAACACGAGCAAGCTCCCCAAGAGTGGGTCAGGTGAAAGGTTTTTTGTTTCCTCTGGGTGACCTGGCGGAGCCAAAAGGGTTCAGGTCTCCAACAAGAGTTCTTAAGCCTGGGGCAGTGAGGATGGTGTCTTAACAGAGCAAGCCGTTGGTCAACACAGGGAAACAATTGACAGAAATATATAGAAAGACACAGAGAGAGAGAGAGAGAGAGAGAGAGAGAGAGAGAGAGAGAGAGAGAGGACAATCAGGGGTAACCACTACACATTCATACACCTGAACAGGGGCACTCAGTGACATCTCACATGGACCCTGGACACTGGGCCGGGGCCACGTCTAATCTCTCCTGTGTGTCCAAGCAGAAGGCACCTTCTCCAGACTACATCTGGAGGTGACAGACCGGGTGACTTTCTAATTTATTTCCTTTTGGGGTGGAGGTGTCAGATTCCTCTGAAGTGTCAATAGGTAGTCATTGATCAAAGAGAGCCCTGGGACCTGGAACATCTCCAGTTGCACATCCCCTAAGAGCCCCTTGACCACTTGTTCTGAGGGGATCTGAGATCCCCTGTGTTTTGAGATCTGGTCTCTAGGGGCCTCTGTGGAACCTCCAGAAATGTTGTGGAGTATCCACCAGAGAAGACTACTCAGACATGGGTTTAAGCCAATAGAACGTATGACTTTGATCCCAGCATTTGGAAGGCCGAGGCCAACAGATCTCTAAGTTCAAGGCCAGCCTGGTCTACAGAGTGAGTTCCATGAGAGCCAGGACTACATAAAGAAACCCAGTCTCAAAAAAAGAAAGAAAGAAAGAGAGAAAGAAAGAAAGAAAGAAAGAGAGAAAGAGAGAGAGAAAGAGAGAGGAGAGAGAGAGAGAGAAAGGAAAGGAAAGGAAAGGAAAGGAAAGGAAAGGAAAGGAAAGGAAAGGAAAGGAAAGGAAAGGAAAGGAAAGGAAAGGAAAGGAAAGGAAAGGGGGGGTCTTTATTAGCCAGTCAGTGACTACACTGGAATCCCAGTATGGCCCTAAGTCTTTCTCAGAGTGAGCTTTTAAACACACACACAATATATATATCTCCATCCTGGGTTGACATACTTCAGTTAACAAGGACAGTTAGCCAAAAGTGGAGCTGCAGATAAAAAGCAAGGTCAGTACATTAGAGACTTTCCCAGAACTGTGGACTTTGATGAATTATTTGTTCTCGTTTAAGCGGGTGGTACAGTCTGCGTGCTGAGTTTTCATGGCCTGAATGGCACTTCCATCATGGCGTCAGTTGTGCTAAGGTCTAAAGGCCTGTTACAAGCTTCAGGGACTCAATTTTGTACGAAGCAGATATAGTCTTTTCTTGGAATTTACAATCCAGTGAGAAGTGCAGAAAGCCCAGGCAGGGTTCCTGGAAGAAGGAAAACAGAGTGAGTTTTACAAGGTGATCAGAGTAGACGCAAGAAGGAGCCAATCGCATGGTCACTCTGGGATCTCAACATGAACAGCTTCTGAGCTCCACAGGGGAGCTTCATTTCCAGGCAGAGCCGGAATGAAGGCAGACATGACTGCACCCTGCGGCCAGTGCTACAGACTTGCCCCACTTCCTCTTTCAGATTTCAACCAGAGGAACAGATGCAATCAGACTGTGCGGGCAGCACGGTTCCTCTCTGGAGAGCCCTCCTGCTCACAGAGAGTTCGTGTCCTCGGGGAGGAGTTTGCGGCTGACCTTCCGGGCACACTCTTCACCCCAGAACAAGATCGCACACCTGCACAAAGGCTTCCTGGCTCTCTACCAAGCCGTAGGTGAGGGTCCCTTCTGGAGTGTAGGGAGAGAAACTTTGTGAGCCCATCCCTGGTTCCTGGAGCCTTGAAGCATGAGCGACAGGCGAGGCTCAGGGACTGGAAACTCCTGAACTGACTCTGTCCTTGTCCCTGCGCTGACCTTGCTAGTGAGCAGCCCAGTTAGCAGTCAGTTGCTTGACCCCAGCCATTAATTCCAAGAAAGTTTACAGGCCCTGTGTGCAGATCAAAGAAATCAGAAAGTCAGGTTAGTTTGTGAAGTTCTAGATCTTCAAACATGACTCACTTTTTTGAAAGATAATATTTACACATAATAAATATTTTTTCAATTAAGGTGTGAAAAGTAAAACTTCCTCTGATCTCTGGCCTTTATCCCTGACCACACTTTCCAGAAACAGCCCAGTTTTCCATCTAGTAGATATTTTTCTAAAGACATCTCACATCCTTGAAGATATATAAATATAAATATATATATTTGGCTTTTCAAGACAGGATTTACTCTGTAGCTATGGAACCTGTCCTGGAACTAGCGCTTGTAGACCAGGCTGTCCTTGAACTCACAGAGCTCCACCTGCCTCTGTCTCCCAAGTGCTGGGATTATAGGCGTGTGCCACCATCGCCCGGCTAAGGTTGCAACCTTTTAAGCTCAGTATGCCTTTTTTAAGACTTATTTGTTTTGCTTGCATGTATGTCTGTGCACCATGTGTGTGCCTAGTACCTGCAGAGGCCAGAAGAGGGCGAAATATTACCTACAACTAGAGTCGTAAGCTGCCACGTGAATACTGGGAACTGAACCAGGGTCCTCTGGAAGAACAGCAAATGATCTTTACTGCTGAGCCATCTCTCCAGCCCCCAATTCAGTATGTCTTAAAGGCCATGTCTCATGACATGGTGATCATTGACTCTATATTTTTAATAACACACAATATTCCCTTGATTGCTGTAACACTATTTAGTGAGTCTCCCATGGATGCTTTCTTGCCACCAACAATGTGGCTGTGCATATCCTTACACACACATCTTTGAACACAGGTGTGAGGATTTCTTTATGGCAAAGGATTCAAAGTTTATGTGCTAGGATACAACACATTTGCATTTTTAAATTTTGAAGTGGTTTAGCATCCTTCTAAAGAAGTTTTGCTAATTAATACATCTACCAGCTGTGTTTGGAAAGACCAGTTCAAACTTGCTGTAGTTGGAATTTTCTTTGGGCCACCAACCAGCTCCCAAATAAAGACATGGAGACTTATTATTAATATGAAAACTTGGTCTTAGCTTCAGCTTGTCCTACTAGCTCTTAATTCAACCTGTTTCTGTTCATCTATGCTTCGCCTCAGGGCTTTTTATCTTTCCTTCATTCTGTATGTCCTACTTTCCTGCTTCCTCTGTGTCGGTCTGTCTGGCCCCTGGCATCTCTTTTTCTTTCTTCCCTGAACTTAAATTCCTCCTCCTACTTACTCCCCTTGCCAGAAAGTTCCTCCTAGACCTCCTCCCTCATTATTGGCCATTCAGCTTTTTATTTGACCAGTCAGGTACCTTAGGCAGGCAAAGTAAAACAGCAACACATCTTTACATAATTAAACAACTATGTGACAACATAAACAAATGCAGTACATTTTTGCATAGTTAAACAAATATTCTGCAACAACCCACTTCTCACAGCAGCTTTCAAGTTATTGGAGTATTAAAAACCTTATCTCTGAAAATCAGCATGGATTTTGTTGAGCCTTGTGCACTGACCATACAGACACGGCTGAGTTGTTCACTGACCATGCAGACACAGCTGAACTGTGTAATTACCAGACAACACAGAAGCATCTCCCATGTTGCCAGTTTGCAAGTCTTCATGAGTCCCTAAGAATTGCTGTTTCCCTACAGCTGTGACCCAGCCCAATGGGGACTCTGAGACTGTCACCACACCTGGAGCTGACCCTCCCAGGATCAAGAATTGCTGCCAAGATCCCTATTATGAGGCCAAACAGGCTGGTGAGTCCCCACCTGTTGAGGAGATAATTCCCATCTGCCTTGTTCCTATAAAAAGGCATGAGGCCTCTGAGTACCTATCCTATTAACTGGATACCCCCAGTGCTGGGCTAACTTCTTTGTTGTCCCTCATTCTGCTCCACAGGGACATTCAGCTGCCCATCCTTGGGGACTTGGAAGGACAGACAGGATGGGGAGAAGAGGCCTCGATGTGAGCCAGGTGAGTAACTGCCCACCTGGTGCTGCTGCGGTGACCAGATGCCAGTGGCCTCTGCTGTTACTGGGAGGGCTGGGACATGGGGTGAAAGGAAAGTTCTGGAATAGAGAATAGAGGTGAAGGCAGAAGGCTCATGGGGATGTAAAGAGGGTCCAGAAAAGAAGAGGCAAGGAGCTCATCCCTCATTCTCCAAAGGTCAAGATACGTCTCAGAGAGGTCGCAGGGGGTAGCTCTGTGGAAGACCACCTGCCTAAGAGGTGGTCTATACATAAGGCCAATCCCCGGCAAAACACACACACACACACAGAGAGAGAGAGAGAGAGAGAGAGAGAGAGAGAGAGAGAGAGAGATGCCAGGGGCCAGACTATTGTGTGTGTGAGTGCAAATAAATTAATACACTTGCAATCCAAGCACTGGAGTCCCAGCCAACCTAAAGCACCTGTCTCAAAAATCAGATAAAGGACATTTGAGGAAAGACAGCCAAGACTGACTTCTGGCCTCCGCATACATATGCACACACATGCACGCACACACACGCACACACACACACACACACACACACACACCCTGTCAACCACTAGTCTACTTTCTACCTCTATGGATTTGTCCATTCTGGACATTGCATACAAATGGAATCATGCTTTGAGTCGTTTTATGGCTGGTTCTCACCTTAGCACAACGCTGTCAAGGTTATCCACATTATAACAGCACTTCATTCTTTTTGTGTTTTGTTTTGTTTTTTTTTTTTTTTTGGTGGTGGTGGTCATGGTGGTGGTTTTGAGTTTCTTTGTTTTTGTTTCCTTTTGAAACTCTCTATATACCAGAATAACCTCAAACTCCCTAGAATCTGTAGCCAAAGATGTCCTTGAACTTCTCATTTTTCTGCTTTTTTCCCAAATTCTGGTATTAAAGCCTGTACCAACATGCCTGGGTAAAATCCATATTTTCAAACGAAAGTACTGCCCCCTAACTAAATGTGATCCACAGAACGTACAAAGGGCAGCCTGGGTTGAGAGATGGGTGGTGTGGGAGATGTTAGGAGTCAGGGAGTGGCACAGAAAATCAACAAAAAGCACTGACGATAAACTTCGAACCAGAGATAGCCCCGTCAGAGCTAAGGAATGGCTCAATGATGTCTGCGGTGGGAGGGAAGGCCTACTGTCCTGTTCCATGCAGGATTTGTGCTCCATGATGTAAAATTAATTCACTGCTCACACCAGCGCTTGTGATGTACACACTTGGAAGGTCCTAGCCCTCCCAGGAGTCACATCTGGGAGCCTCCTCACACCTGGGAGCCTCCTCGCACCTGGAGCCTCCTCACACCTGGGAGCCTCCTCGCACCTGGAGCCTCCTCACACCTGGGAGCCTCCTCGCACCTGGAGTCTCTTCACACCTGGGAGCCTCCTCCCACCTACCATAGCACCTCACAGGTCTCTAATATACTGCAGTTCTTTATTGCTCTCCTTCCCTCTTCTTTCTGGCAGTCTGTGGAAGACCAGTCATCCCCATTGTTCAGAACCCGAAGACTTTTGGTTCTTCCCCAGCTAAGCTGGGCAACTTCCCTTGGCAAGCCTTCACCAGTATCTACGGTCGTGGGGGCGGAGCCCTGCTGGGTGACAGATGGATCCTGACTGCTGCCCATACCATCTACCCCAAGGACAGCGTCTATCTCAGAAAGAACCAGAGTGTGGAAGTGTTTCTCGGTCACACGGACGTAGGCGAGCTGCTGAAACTGGGGAACCATCCTGTCCGGAGGGTCGTGGTTCACCCAGACTACCACCAGCATGAGTCCCACAACTTCAACGGGGACATCGCCCTCCTTGAGCTTCAGCACAGTGTCCCCCTGGGCCCCAACCTCCTCCCAGTCTGTCTGCCCGACAATGAGACCCTCTACCACAGCGGCCTGTGGGGCTATGTCAGTGGGTTTGGTGTGGAGATGGGCTGGTTAACGACAAAGCTGAAATACTCAAAGCTGCCTGTAGCTCCCAGGGAGGCCTGTCAAGCCTGGCTCCGCCAGAGGCAGCGGATTGAGGTGTTTTCTGAGAACATGTTCTGTGTGGGGGATGAGAGTCAGATGAATAGTGTCTGCCAAGGGGACAGTGGCAGCGTCTTCGTGGTGTGGGACAATCGTACTCTTCACTGGGTGGCCACAGGCATTGTATCCTGGGGCATCGGGTGTGGTAAGGGGTACGGCTTCTACACCAAAGTACTCAACTATGTGGACTGGATCAAGACGGTAATGGAAGGTAAAGATTGACCCCAGGGGACCTGAGCAGTGGACCAGCACTGTGGAAGTCCAAGGATCCACTTGGGGTCAGGGAACCCTATTTAAGTCACTGATTCATCAAACCACTGCCCAAGAGGAAGCCTCCTCCCCTGCACCTACACCATCCCAAATCAGCAGCAGCACCACCCACTGCCCCTTCTCACCTTCTGGTTTCCAGGGCTTTGTACCAGGGAAGCCTGCACATACATCTGAGCAACGTTTGCTTAGAACGTCGTTTTGTTTGTTCAAGGCAGGATTTGACTCTGTACCCCAGGCTGGCCTCAAACTCATGACAGTGACCCCGCTTCAGCCACCCAAACACTGGGATTACGAGCATGCACAGATAAACCTGGCAGCATCACCGCGTTTGTCTTTTCGAATCCCCTTCCTCATCTATTGACAGTTTCTCCTGCGTTTACTTGTGGAACAGCCATCCTCTCTGACTCTGTCCAGACAGAGTGGGGATGAATGGGTTTTAATTGCACTGTGTCTCTGAAATATTCCAGAGATCCTTATGTGGACCATCAAACATGTGACGCCGTTGGCTTCACCACCTACCACAATTACACACATGATAGTGATACCTCCTTTTTCACCCTCTATCCACTGTGTGCCAAGGCCATAACCCATTATCTCACCTAATCCTGGCACCGTACTGGCAAAGGGTGCGTTAGCCATTGTCTGTATCTCACAATGAAGAAAGTGAAGCTCAGAAAGACACGGTGGCTTGCGGAAGTGTGACAGCTGGTTCTTGGTTGAGGCTGCATCCCTCCCAGCATGCTCTCTGCTGCGCCCCTCCCAGCATGCTCTCAGGAATACGACTCTGCTGCCCTCGAGACCTACCTCATCATCCATGCCCCCTTCTGATCCCCCCAGCTTTACAGGCCCCGTCCCTGGGGAAGACCTGCTTCGGCGAAGGTAGAACCATCAGTTCACACACGTTCCTGATGGCCCCCATCACCAAGGGCACTGCCAGCCTGAGAAGATGAACTCTTTAATTTGTAGGAACAATTTGGGGTGACTTGCAGTGAAAGACAAAAATAAAATGCAAGAGTTCGGCAAGAATAGAGACTGGGTGGTCTAAAAGAGAAGAAAGGAAGTGTGTTAGCTAGGGCTGAGAGTGAAGATGCTCTATGGTCAACGTGATGAAAAATAGCAGGATCCAAACTGAGCAAGTGATACGCACCTAGAATCCCAGACACTCGGGAGCCTGAGGAGGAAAGATCATAAGTTCAAGGCCAGCCTTGATCTCATCTCTAAGTTAAAAAAAAAAAATAGCTGGTCAGTGTTAACCTGATCTACAGAGTGAGTTCCAGAACACCCAGGGCTACACAGAGAAACCCTGTCTGGAAAACAAGCAAATAAATAAATAAAGGTGGTGGTATCTAAATATGGTTGATTCTACTTTTTAAACCCTATGCACAGTTCAGACTACCATTAAAAACAGTCTAGGGGTTGGAGAGGTGGCTCAGAGGTTAAGAGCACTGACTGCTCTTCCAGAGGGCTCAGGTTCAGAACCAAACCACAAAAAAAAAGGAATCTCAGAAATGTCTGTGACTCTGGTTCTGGGGTATCCTGCACCCTCTTCCAGCCTTCATAGGCACTGTGTGCACATGCATACAAACATAGATGCAGGCCAAAACACTCATACATGGAAACTACAAATAAATGAAATCTTTAAAAATAAATAGGTTTAAACTAAAAGTATTCTAAAAACTACTAAACAAAAGTTGCTTTAGGTGGAGTGGTTTTGACTAATTTTTTCTTGTTTTCTACTGGTAACTTTTAAATAATAAGCATATATCATTCTTATTGAAGTTTTTATAAAAATTGTATATTAACAAAGCAAAAATACTTACATATATTTGTCTAGATGTATGTGACTATTTTTATCTCTAGATGTAGGTATAGATTTCGATTTCATTTGAATGTTTGAACAGAGTTGAAGTGGGTTGGACCTGAGGTGGTAAGGTCCAGATTTAGCAATCTTTGGTCAAGCCCAGATTTAGCAATTTTTGGTCAAGTCACATGCATCATGACAGAATTCGGATGAGACCGCTTCAGCTGGTTTGCTGTATTGGCCCACCTCTTCTCTACCTGTTGCCTCTTCCTCCATTATACACATGTAACACGTGCACACACACACACACACACACACACACACACACACACAGCTCTTAGAATCTCAACATGCAGTTCCCTAGACAAGATTCCCTCTTCCTTCTGAGCTAGTCCACTTCCTTATTCCTCATCATTTTGCTGACAAGACACAACTCTTACTGTGCTAAAATCACACACCAGCTGTACCACTGCATTAACACGCAAGTCTGCTGGGAAAACATTACAAACCCTTGTAGTTCCTGGGTCTCGTGTGTGTCTGCTCTCCAGCTACGTTCCAAGACAACGGGTCACCATCCAACGGGAGACCGGCTCCATCTTTGTGAGTCCTTGAAATCCACCATCTGATCCCTTATATAAATAATCCCATAAACAAACTAGTAGGGGAGGGGGTTGGGGTAAAGGGGTGGAAGGTGACATCACTGTCACCTCCAATGTTACAGGAACTGGGAGGCCTCCTCAGAGTCCAAGCCTCCACAGAACAAAGTGACACAAGGTATTTGGTGTTGTGGGCACAGGAGCAAACTTTTTAAAGAGGACACTATGTCCTCACGGACAGTACAGCTGTCTCGGGAACCTGATTTCCCTTCTCCAAATGCAGCCGCGCCCTTTGCTTGAGTGCTGAGCAATTGTATCCCTGGGGACTCAAATTGACCAGATGCCCAGGAAAAAAAATGTCTCTCCCCTCTGTCGTTGCCCTGTCTTTAATAAGCCCTAAGTTCATTGGCAAGCCCAAGTTCTGTGATGAGGGCTGCATGGGGGATTCAGAGCCTAGACATAGGAAACACCCCCCATTCTGGGGCTAAATATCATTTATGAGCAATGCAGGCCAGGGTCCCACAGCAGCTAAACCCATCCTCCTCTGTGAGCTAGCCATCCCAGCACCACAGCGGCAAGGATGGGATGGATCAGTGGGAAAGCATAGCCTCCATGGTCAGTGATGCCTCTGACGAGGAATCTCCGATAAAGCTCAGCTAGCAGCCTCCAGGGAAGCCTCTGAGAAACTGCTCATCAGATTTAGAACTCTGGAGTCTGGACCTCCAACCAAATGTTCCCTAAAAATTCAGATCCCATCTCCTCCACCCTTCCCCACGTAGGCCACCAGGTGGCACCAGCAACAGGGATTTCAAAACCAAAACTAAACTGGGAAGTCAGAATTTTTTTGTTTATGCAAATGGTTCATTCCCTACAACATTCCTCCGGGAATGGTCACCCACCCCTCCGCTGCCACAGTCCTTCCCTCCCCCTTCCCTCCTCTGCATGCCCACTCCTTCTTTCAACTTACAGCGCCTGGAGACTGTCAGAAGAGCTGAGGACCCAAAACAAACTGACCTTGAGACATGTGAGTAAGGCTGATGGGCACCAAGGCAGGAGGGAGGAGTTGGCATAAGAGGCAAGCATGCTCCCACATTATTTTTAAAAGAGAAGAAGAACAGGAACCCGGCATTCTCCTTTCTTTAGTTCCCGACTCCACTGCACACACATAAACAGGGACACACTCCTCAGCCTTCCCCCCAAGGACCAGACTCTTCGACATGAGCTGCAGCAGCCTCTCTTTTCTTGACCCTGGGCTCACAGCAGGGTAAGGGGAGGGGAGGGAACCCTCTGAATGAGGAGGAATCCCCTATGTGTGTTTCTCAGACTCTGTGAAGGGTTTCTCCCAAACGCCTTTGCTGAAGCGTTGAGCACCTTCACGAACGGTCTTCACCCTCAGTTAGCTGGTCCCAAGCCAGTCTTATTCCAGGAAGAAAAAGAGATGAAAGAGCAGGGCAGAGGAGGCAGTTGGGAGGGGGCATGATGGGAGCATGGTGACCTCTGGACTGGACACAGGCCTGGGAGAGACACCGCTGCAGCAGCTGCAGAGGCTGCCACTGCCCAGTTCCCAGCACCTCTATGTAGTCTAGAATGGGCAGAGAGAAGGATGGGCATCATCCCATATTTGCCCCACAACAGCCCAAACAACAAAGTTGCTGCACCCTTCCAGCCCCACAAATACCGCCCCCTGTCTCTCTTTAACAGGCGACTCTTCGCCCTCCTTCTGGTGACCCTATTCTGCAGCGCAGAGGGCTCCATCTACATCCCTCAGAAGCTCTATGGAGAGGTGACCTCCCCTCTCTATCCCAAGCCTTACCCCAGTGACTTTGAGGAAACCACTGTGATCACAGTCCCTGTGGGGTACAGGGTGAAGCTTGTCTTCTGGCAGTTTGATTTGGAGCCTTCTGAAGGCTGTCTGTATGACTATGTCAAGGTAGGAGTCAGGATGGGAGGGAAGGGAGAAAAGGCTGGGCCACTGGAGAAGCTGGAAGTCTGCTCTAAACACCCTGGACAATATACCTGCACCCCATCATTGTGCTGATCTGTAGAAATGCTGGCCCTGAGTTCCTGGTAGCATAGACGGGGTATTGATGGGTTTTGAGGCCCTCGATGAGAAGCATGGGTTGGGGGAAGGAGGGCTTTTGTTTTGTTTTCCAGATTCACGATGTGTAGAAATCAGGAGGTGGCTAGCTGTAAGACCTTAGGAAATCGCAATGACTCAGTTTCCCTGTCTGGCTACCTACCTCATCAGGAGCATGAGGAAGTGAAGCAGGTGGCAGCTTGCACATGGTCTTCAGGGAGGACAAGGATCTTGGTCCCCTCTGCTCTGTACACTTCAAAGGCTTTCTTTCTCGGCCTCATCTTTCTATGTCCAGAAAAGATAAAAGGCAGGATTCAAGCAGGGCCTGTGCATGACCACACACTGTCATTCCCAAGCAGCAGCTTGGAGGCTCAGAGAATAACACCGAAACTCCTCACAAGAAAGAGGGCTCAACAAGGTTGCAGTGTTGGGGGTGAGGGACAGCGTTTGGTGAAGTGAGTGAGGAAGATACCTGTGGCTTTGGAGAGACTGAAGAGTCTGAGAGGAAACGTGGTCAAGAAGCCAGACAAAGCTGGCCAGGGCCAAGGCTGCTGGGTACCAAGCCCACGATCATGTCAGTTGGGTAGAGCCGGAAGCAGGGCTGAGTGTGGTTTTTAGGCAATGAAATGGAAAACAAAACAAACCCCTGGGCGTGGTAGCACGTTCTGTGATCCCAGCACTAGGGAGACTTAGAATGTTTGGATCAGCCTGGGCTACATAGCAAGTTCAAGGCAAGCCACTTTCTCAAAAACACCAAGGAAGGAAAGGGAGGTGAGAAGAGGCGGGGTGGAGAGGAAGAGGAAGAGGAGGACAATGACAGAGACCAAAGATGACCAATCCAAGCTCGAGAAATGAAGGAATGATCAAAACACCTAGAGACAAGGATTCCTGGGGAAGGGGGGTGCAGGAAGTGGTGGGAATGAGTGAGATTGGAGCCGTGGGGTGGGGGCGGCAAACAGGGGAGAGATGACCAGGCACAGAATGGCAGGTGAAGAGTCAACTGTCAGGACAGGAAGGCAGAAGAATTGCAAGTCTAGGGCTGGCGAGATGGCTCGGTGGGTAAAGGTACCTGCCTGCAAGTTGTCCACTGTGTTCCATGTGTATGCCTCCCAACGTGTCCCCAATACACACACACACACACACACAGAGAAAGAGAGAGAGAGAGAGAGAGAGAGAGAGAGAGAGAGAGA